TAGGGGTTATTATAAATTAAGGGTGTACAAAGGCTGAATCTCAGTTTCAACTAATAAAAGATCCTGAGTTTATGGAGCCTGAACTTCGAAAGCTTGAACTTCAACTTCCGTGGAAGGTTGCCAGTAGAAGTGACTGGCTTATGCCATCAATTTCGAAAGAAAGATTCACGTCGGTCTTGTCACCAGTAGAGCACCCAAGTGGGAACCAGCATTCTGTATCACACAGAATGTTTGTGACTTCAAATAAGAAATCTCGTATGCATTTGGAATTACCATAATACTGTAATCTTCTGTTATAAATTCCCACAATGCATACAGATGGCTAAGTGTAGCCCATTACAGCTTGCAAGAGATACACATGTCAAAGTGACAAAGGTGCATTTGGAATTTTCCGTAAATTTGTCTGTCGTTGCAGCGTGAAACGCTGTCTTGTATTTGACTCGAATTTGGAATAAATTTCATTAAAAAAATATGATTTGGAATGATTAGAATTAATAAGTTGAAAAGGGTCATTCTCTCCTAGTGAAACTCGGGGAGGAATGACTCCATGTTTACCAAGCAGCATGGCAAGAAGCTGCGATGGTGCGAAGGATATAAGATTGTAAGCAACAAGTTTTAGGAGTGGCTTTGGCAGAGTTTGACGTTAGAAGCAACAGTTGACCGTATTCTACAACTAAGACCGCTAGCAACCGTATATTGCTGACTTAAGTGTAACTATAACATGAACATGATTGAATGCGTGCCGCGGTCTAATGGTACAGCACAGCGGTACGCTGGATTCTCCTGTCCCAGAGCAGGTGGAATGCATTAGCGATTGTATATCGCGATCTTCTGAGCCAGAGCAAGTGAACACGGATGAAAGTACACCGCGAATAGATCAGGTCTTAAATTACTAAGTATAGCCCGTCTTTGTCACGATGTAGCGGTACTGGTGAGCCAGCACACCTCCGCCATACAAATTATGCAATGCAAAAGACTGTTCACTTGCGAATGGAGTGGTCGGGGTTGCTCAAGGGACTGTAAGTTTTATCTCATACCCCGGCATAAGCTCTCAAGCGTTTTGAGGAATTCAATCAGTGAGGTTATTTAATGGTATGACAGGTGCTGAACTCAGATCCACCTCGTAACCAGTCTTCGATGAGTTCATCGTTGCGGACACGCGCAGAAAACCGAGTGCAAGGAGTATGAAAACTACTCTCGAAAGTCTAACGCATTAACGGCAGATTTAATAAATACAAAAAAACGACATCGTTACAGTAGTCCCTCTGCGCCTGTCGCATCCGGATCGAATAGTGTGTGACGTGCATGGCTTGAACTCTGGGATCAGATAATGCATCAAATGACAATGGCCCTTGTCAAGCAGGCAATGTAACATCATTAACACTTGTTTTCGTGCGAAGCAGGAAGCGAGATGGGTGAAAGATTGCAAATCTTCTACTCCTTTTAGCCTTTTGATTCAAAAAAGCAAAACAATGTGTATACCTAAAATAAACTAGACGTGTGACAAACTACATTGGGCTTGCGAGCAGCTTGAGCGTATGCGCTTCGCTAAGCTGATTACTAATACAGACAATTGCATCTTTGACCCCATCAAAATTATCTTTCTGGGATGATTTATGGAGAAGCATAGTCGGCGTCAATATCACGCAAAAATTTAGGCCATCGCATACTGGACAAATGAGATGTTTCCTCATTTGTCTTCACATGAGTGGTTGGCACTCGAGCGGATGTGAAAAGCCATCAAAGAAGCTGCAGTTGTCAGTTTACTGCAGTCGTCTTCTTCGAATGACCTGGAGAACGCGGTTGTCAGTTTCATGCATCATGAGGTTATGGAATCTCAGAAACAGGTCGAAACCCCTGTTTCTTCTTACATAGCGAAACCTCTGGAACTGAACGTGTATTTGTACCGCGGTGGGGAGAGCAAGCCTTTTCCACAATGATTTGTCGAGCTGGATGCAGCAATCACTGCAAGACAACTGCGAGACCCCTTGCAGAAGTGCTGTTCGCAATGTCCAACCTTGCGGGCCGTGCGAAGAGTTAGGCATATGAGAAGCGTTCAGCCGATCTAAACTGCTTTCCCAGCTTTGAACACTTCAAAGACGAACTAAGAAAGGCGTTTGAGCCACCACAGAGTGAGTTCCGCGCCCATGCCGAGTTCTTGAAGCTTCGTCAAGGTCGTTACGACCTACACTCGTATGCACAGCGTGCTCGCTACTTGGTATCGTGCACTGTCGACGAGCCATAAACATTTCAGCGCAAGTTATAACGTTCATGACAGGCTTGAATGATGGTCCAATCCGGAATCAATTGTTCCGTGAGTATCCCAAGACTCTGGATGATGCCATCAACCGTGCGATGCAAGAAGAGTGTAGCATTATGCAAGCCACGTTCAACGGCTCCGCACCAAGGCAAGCGCGCCAGTCGACCGGTACATGTGATGGTCCAGCCACTTGACATTTCGTACAGGTCCGCACCTGGAAGTGTGCGTCATCGCAATGATAGAAAGTGTTTCCGTTGTGGGAAGCCGGGTCATATTGTCCGAGACTACAGAGTGTATTTGTTGAGTCGGCAACAGACACAGGAAGCTCGTTCGGATAACCGCAGACGCTTTAAAGGTCGCCGTTCGAGCGCTACCAAGGCAAGAGAAACGGGAACGACCAGTAGAGGTGGGGCTCCTTCTGGGCCCGAGAAGAGTACTATGAATGTTGTAGATACACGGAACTCTGGCTCCAACGTCCACGATGAGCATGCAGTTTCCAGTCAATTTCCTGAAGCGTATCGTTTGCCTCAATCATCCTGAGAGGTACCAGGGGTTGATGGATGGAAGTGTCAGGCAAAGTGCAACTTTGCCTGACACTTGAAGTTTTTGTAGATGGTTTTTAGAGACCACTACGAGTTTTGATTGGCACTGGTGCATTGAACAACTTTGTTCAAGCGCAAGTTATGACTGGGCATGGTGTTAGCCTGCTTGATGTGAAAGAAGAAAAGGCCATTCGTTTATCGAATGGATTTAGAATGAAGATGCCTAAGCAAGCCATTCGCTTAACAATGAAGCTAGCGGATTTCCGAGGTGAGGACAAGTTTATCTTATTCAACCTCGATGAAAAGCTCGATATCATCCTAGTACGCCATGGTTGAAGCGTTATCAGCCTAGCATTGACTGGATGAATATGAAGAATGTCTTCAAGAAGTTGTGCAGCGCTGCATGCCGACGAACGAAAAATTATGGGCATATCATCTGTTGAAGAAGTTAAAGATGTCCCAAGTGATATTGTGGTGTGCGATGGCCCCCATTTTCACAGGACAAGCCCAAAAAACGATAGTAACGACACCAACTGGAGATGGAGCAATCAGGCGACCAAAAAAGACTGTCTCCTTTGCTATCGACATGAAAGTCATGACGATGGTAGTATGAAGAAAGTGGGATTATCAGAGACAAAGACCCATCCCGAGAGAAAGAAGAGTTCTCCGTCAAGTATTTTGCGTGCCCCTGATCAAGGTACAATTTGTATTGATGAAGGAAGTGCTCAAAAACAAGACGCTTCAAACGACTTAATAAATGTTGTCGTCTACAACAAAGAAGGTGACCTCGATATTATCCATCACGTGAAGATTGAAAATCCTCCAAGTTTAGCCAAAGAATTGTGCTCCTTGCCGTTGATGAGCAAGATTATGCTGAAGCGTAGCCTGGCGGCAAATCCAGCCAGGACGTGACAACACTTCAAGCTGTCAGAAACATCAAGTTTTTGCAGAATGATCAAAGTACATTTGACACTTTCACTCACAGAATCACCAGAAGTCGGGCCAATAATGAATTCGTATTGGCATCTTTCAAGCCTTTGCGTTCGTTCTCCTGATTTCGACCGTCGTCATTGATAACCACAAACTCTTGACTGTTATTCCGTGTATACATTTAAAAATAAGGCGGCTTTGCCGCAGAAAAAAATAAAAGTCAGTTTTGGGTTTAAAACGGAAGTGTTAATCAGCCTTGGGTTAAGGCAATAATTACTTTTGGAGTAAGCGCATTGCGATCCGACTTGTTCTAATTATGGAACGAAAGGTCGGTGACCTAAATTACGCTTCCTCAAAACGCAAAGCTGCGGTAGCCCCGCTGCAACCCGACTACTTATCAGCAAAATGTTTTAGTGCTGTTCCCACTAACCACGTGCTCCATCAGGTTTGATCTAACGCAATTCTTTCTTAGTAGGTTGCTCAAAGCCTACTATAACTCGATGTTTCTTCTCGAGAGGTTCGTTGGGAGCCCTTGCGCGGAAGCTTGACCCTCAGCTTTTCAAAGCCGAGAAATGGGGCAGGCCTAGCGCAGATATTTACGCTACTACAGATGTCGCAACTGCAAGTACCACGATGCTGTATGACAGCCAAAACATTTCTTACTTTTTTGTCAGCATGATTATGATTCACAACTTATGGCTCACTTGTCGAGCTATCACCCTTTCTATCCAGAACAAAACATGCTTTGCATTTAATGCGATGTCCACCGCTTTTTCACGGGAGGCGGAAGCTTTCAGTGCAAGCCGCATTCCTCCTTGTAATTGTTTTCGTGCTTTCGCTTCCAAACGCAGGTCTGCCCAAATCACGGCATGAAGAGTTCGCAACTATTGAGCGTAAATTGATATCCGGCCTCTCTTGACGAGTGGACGAGAATTTGTACGCACATGGTACGCCTGGTAAGGCGCTTAAAACAAATATTCTGCGCGTTAGGCTTACTTTCGTATGCAGCCTCCTAGCATGGAGACCGCCAGCGCGACACTGTTGCCGCGTCAAGAAAATGGCCAAAACAATGGGCTTTATGAGGATGTTTTCCAGTTCCTCTTCTAAAGATGAGGGCATTTAATTTTATGCACAATTGGAAAAAAATGTATCTTAATAGTGCGTACCCCATTACACAACGAATATGAGCTTTTTGAGACCATAAATAATGTCCACCACACGGTTTTGCATTTTTGTAACAATTCGCGCCATCTTGAGCATTTTCGACCATGAGCGAAGGACGTTTTCAGCACTTGCTGCAGCCCATTCGGTCCGTCTATTCCTGAGTTTCTTGTTGCCTCCATCTCACTCGTTTACTCTTTAGGGATCTGAGCAAGAATTGGAACATTGATCTCGCTACTGAACTCGAGGAATACATGGACAAACTCGAGACCCTCAGCATCTCGTTTGATCCCGAAGATGGTGCTAGTATCGCAAGCAATAGTGAAGGTGGCAATGTTATGAATTTTGCCGAAGCAGCGTTGCTAATTCAAGGCACGAGCGTCATTTACAGTCGCAAAGTCGAGTATCTCCATGCCCTCGTGTACCAGACACTGGCACATTTATCAAAACAACAGGATGACACACAGCAAAGTCATTTGAACGGGGGAATAGATGCGAATCCAATCGAAAGAGACGAGGAAGAAGTGGAAAAAAGTGTCTTTTTGAATCCGTTGCCTCTTTATGATAGTTTGGAAGAAGCCAAACCGACCCATATCACTCTTAAGAAATCGCTTCAAGATGACGAGTCTGAAAAGGTTCAAAGAACACGAAAAGATGGTAGAGCACTGAATCAAAGCAAGAACAATATTCAAGCATCGCTCGCACTAATGGGGTCACTTGTGCCCGATGATCGTGAGCATGGAGAGACATTTAAGTTACTGTCATGCAATTTGCATGCTAGTGGCGTACTGCTGTTAGACGAAGCGAGTAAAAAGTATTTGCAACCAATGAATCATGTGGCTATGGATCAATCTCTTGCATTTGGCGAGACACCAGGGCGACAGAGAGGCATGTGGATCAATTCCGAGGGTGAGCCTCCTCCCATTACTACGTTAAATTTTGATGATATCGACGATGAAAATGAACCTGTTGACCAATTTGATTATCACTTTGAGGATAATATGAATGATACTGCAAGTTCTCCACATCAGGACATTGCAACTGATGAGTTACCACGAAATGGAACTTTAGAAACAGAACGACAAGTTGTGACAGATAAGGTACCGAGTGTGGAAAAAGACCCTTGGACTCCTCTCGATGCGTACGATGCGAGTTTGTCTATTGTGCGACCATTTCGAAAGGGACGATCATATCCACGAGTCCCAACTTACAAAAAGAAGAAACGTTTGATTGCACATAGTAATAAAGACCACGCGGTTGGATTAGAAGACGAGAATGAACAGGATGGATTATCTGATCTAGCATTTCAAGAACGTTTCTTCAAACACTCAAAACAACCACAATGGACTTCGTGGATCTACACGGAAACGTCAAGTGAAAATCCGCTAGAACAAACATGCAAGCGCTCATTTTGTAAGCGTTTGCTACTCGTTCAAACGTGCGTAGAATTGTGGCAACGCGAGGCAAAGTGGCGGAGTATCATGCGGCGACTTGAAGCGCGTGAAAAAGAGAGCGCACACGCGATTTTGCTTCGAGAGCAAGCGATGGAAGAAGAGGAGCGTATGGAAAAGGATCCAATTACTCTATCAACTGCACCAGCTCGACTGGATTCGGCTTATGATGGAATTGGGAATGAAGATGACAGTGATGATGATATGATTCATGACGATGGAATTGAGTGTGCAGATTTGGAACAAGGTCCCGAAATGAGTGAAAGTTTGAGCTCATTTCAGGATCAATCGAGTGCATTGGTCACTTATGAAGATATTTGTCGGCAACATTTAGCAAGTTTCATGGCAGGAACGGAAAAATATGTGCGCGAAACTGATTTGAGCAAACAAGTGACTGAGTGGCAAGAGAAACTCACGCCATTATTAAAGCAACAAGACACTCGACCACCTTTTGATATTCATCAATACGGTCGTGAAATTCTTTCTCGTTTACAAACACAGCAACAGGCAAAAGGAGTTACAAAAAAACGCACGAAAAAACGTACACGCAATAATGACGAGACCGATGCAGTAGCATTTGATACGCTCGTCCATGGTACAAGTTCATTTGAGGTCTGTCGCCTCTTTTTAGCGTCGTTACAATTAGCAAACAGTGGCAATGTAGCACTTTCACATGCTCAAACAGCAGCAGATCATGACCAAGTACCATTTAAAATGCGGTTACTTAGTTCTACTAATGCTTACGAAGCGCTGCAAGTTTAAATGTGGTAATGTACTTACACTCATTTTCCAAGATTTTGAGTGTGTAAGAGTGTTTGTCCTTTATAAGAATGACTTTTTTTCATAAGTGAATTACGTTCTACTTAATTTGTAAATTCACGGCAATCCAGGCGCGAAATCATGGACCTAGTGCCACGCTTGCTGGACTACGTGGTGAATTTCCCACGTACCGAAGACGCCAGTGAATTAAAAAGCCAACTTAGTGGCTGTACACACTCGGATCTTCGTGCAGTTTGCAACTTATTGCGCCTTCCCATCTCCAAGAAGAATAACAAGAAAAGCGGATACATAGCCACACTCGTGTCCTATTGGAGAGGTGATGTCCCGAAACCTTCAGCCAATACTATGATACCGACGGACAAGTCACAACCAAAAGCTCATTTGCCACATCATCCTATGCCAGTGCATGAAGCCAGTGATGTGATCAATTACGTGCAACATTTCGCTCCAAATGGGGATGTTCACGAGTTACGCGATCAATTAAATGGGTGCAAGGCAGTTATACTGCGCTCTGCTTGTGTCCAGTTGGATCTTCGTCCTCATCGTAAAAATTTTGCCAAACCAAATTTTGTTGATCTTTTGGTGGAGTATTGGCAACAATTTAGAGCTGGTTCTTCTCCTCGTATGGTTGCATCCTATACGAGTCCAGTTACGCTTGACCCTGAAGTAACACCAAGAAATGTGAATCATGAAATTGAGATAGTAAAGGAAGTGAGATCACGAGGCGAAGAATTGCTTTTGAGGAAAAAAAGAGCAAAGGTTGAACGCAGTGACGGTGAAGAAAAGTCGACACTGACTACTTCGCTCGAGAAAGCTAAGGTGGTGAAGGAATGGGCATCGGCTATTGAAATTCTATCGCGTGTGGATGGAAGTGCTGATAGCATAGCATCGATCAGAGCTTTGATTGATGATGTTGTCGAGAGTGCAGCTTTAAATTTGTGATGTTTAGGTAGTATTTCTACTGTGTAAAAGAGTTTTTTAGCTTTATAAGTATTCAAGTGTGTTTCGTGATTTTCACCCGGATGAAATATGATTTGTGTCGAACACACAAATGTATTTTGAATACAGTTTATAGAAGTGTGATACAGAGTTCCTTGGTGTAGCAAAATGAAATGCACTTATTCATCAACCAAGCGCTGTAATGCCTTCGTATACTCGCCCGAGAATGCGAGCAGAGTAGTCAGATTATAGAACAAGGATAAATCTGCAACGGCGTTGCTGTGCACTTTGCACAATCTGTGCTAACAAACGCACACACCGCATTGTGGTGAATGTACCTAACGCCATCTAGAAGCACCAAAGTAAGGTACTCTGACGAGCAAGTATTAGAAAAAAAATTGGCATAGCGAAATGGGACATATGCAATACATTGGTTTCTATTCTTGAGAGAATTCTAGTAATTAATGACAAAATTTTAAAGTAAATTTACATCTCTCGTGAGAAGAAGAGAAACTCAGATACCTAAGTACACGAAACTCCTCGGTTTCGTTTCTGGATGAAGCGTTTAGTTTGGTTGCGTGTATAATGTGGACTCGCAGAGTCAAAGCTTCTCCTGTGCAAGGTTCAGAGTAACGTCATCGCACTCGGTAGAACTTATCGTCAAACTGACGACCGAATCTTGTTAAGACTGCATTCTATGTGAGCGAAGGACACGAATTGTCCACCAATATTCCCGGGACATCAAGACACACTATTCGAGCCCCTGTATTTAGCTAAATGTAAGTAAATGGTATAATTGACGGCCCAAGGATCACATGCGGCAATCACTCGCACGTAGTCGCTCAATTGCTATAAAAATGCGCTAGTGTAACGACCCCAAAAATGTCTCACCTGAAAGCCTGTATGGCCGGCTAGCTTCAACATAACGAAGCTGCTTTTATTAGAAGTCCATTCATTTGAGGATAGGGAAGAAAGAAAGCATTTAAAGTAAGATCGAGGTGCCATATTCGGCAATGCTCCAGACGAAGCGTCAGCACGTCGTACTCGCGAATTACAAACTAGGGTATTTACGTTAATTACGCGTCATTCCTGACAAGAGAAATACTGGGGCGTCAGATGTCATGAACGCAACCGCGTTACCAGTCGTATCCTGTTCGATCAAAAGCCGTGACCACCCGTCAAGGGAGTCGACGATTAGAGGACTATATCCAAAAGCCACGATCTCTAAAAGCCGGGACGGCGGTAGCTCTTATTGATTCAGAAACTCAATGGTCGCCATTCCCGTGAAAGTCTCCTTGGAAGTGCAAATTGCACTTATAACTGCGCATCCATTCAGCCTTTTACGAAGTGCGGCAGGCATGGCATTAAATGCACAGACAAGCTTCCGTCCTGTGAGAGCCGATTGCAGTACGGATGTTGAAGACTTTATGAATGCGCTAGATAAGATGGACGTCTCCAACACCGAGAAAAATATGTGGCCTTTTAGCTGCCGAGTAGCACCGCAATACACACAAATATCATATCCAAAACAGTAATAACTGTCTTTGACGTCCGAGTCCCCTAATATATTGCTTGAGAGTCGAGCTTTCACGCTAAAACGAACCCACAAACCCCTTGCGGAAAACGTCAAGTCTTGGTCAGGTATAAGATAGCCCACCGAAAAAGAGCTGGTATATGTTGATCCTCGTGGAGGTTGAGCTCAACGTATCGAAGCCCTGAAGAGCGCTTACTAAAAGTGGGGCTTACAGCATTGGATTGTTGGTTGCAAACATCAATATCCCGGTCTTAGCAAGACCGTTTAAAATACTTCTAAATTCTAAAGTGTCGTGCGGCTATGTACGACGCGCAAATGTCAGAAGCCGTAGAGTAATTCAAGCATTAAAAAGATGCCAATCTATAATATAAATCTGTGCGATTTGCGACGAAGGCATATCAAAGATCCGTTTGATCTTGAGATGTTTGAGAGATCTAAGTGCGTAGAGTTCTGTCTTGTTTCAAGTTGGATTTCAGATCCGATCTCATCCGCGGTATGGCCTGCCTGAACCTTCATGCGCACGAGTTGACTGGAGAACAAAAATAATTAAGATTTATTTGCAGTTTCCTTAGGGTTGAACTTTGATGAGTCATCAGCTCCCTTCTGCTAGTACACAGAAGCTCTATTGGCACGCATGATCGTGAAGTGCAGGACAAGGATTCGCTCGAACTAAGCAGAAAAGATATTGCAGGTGCTTCAAGCAAAGCTCAGATAGCAGAAGCGGCGAATGAGCCGCAATTCTACGCTGCGATAGCATATCGAGGGGTCCAGAGTTTATCCCAAATAGACCAAAATTGGCGGCAAATGTCGCGATCTACAAAGTAAATCTGGACGGGTAATTACAGTTGCAAGCTGGGGTGCCCTGATATCAATTTTAGAAAAACGCACCAAAATGAATGTTTATCGTAGTATCCTGAGCATAATCTGGTGGTGACAGGCAATTGTCAGCCGCAAGTAGATGTGGCGGGCCCTGTGGTATCAAATACGGCCCAATTCCGCCACGATATATCGGTACTGCTTTGTCAGCTCAAACGTGCGACGCATTCATCTTGCGAAGCAGTTGAACCACACATATTTGCCCCGTGAGAACTCTCACTGGCAAATGAAGCGCTAAGGGTATTCTAGGAGGTTGCAAGTCCCCCCTCATTGCTTCAGACAGAACAATTCCCCCGAGAACGTCTGGAAAGCGTTGCAGGAAGAAGAAGTCCCCAGACTAGTACAGTAAGTGCTGGAGAAGAAGCTGAGCTCGTCATTGAGAAAATGTGCAGAGGACTGAGTGCGACGAATGGGACGGCTATCGCATGGATTTCTTCAGCTCCTATGTATCTCTTCTTGAAGGAATATCACGACGTGGTCACAAGAAGTAAAATCAGGTTTCTGAAATCCAACATCGCGTCGCACGTTATAAGCACTTACTTACTGCTGGAACAGTCTGACGCCAAAGCAATATTCTTACGTTCGATGCACAAAGCGGGAATGTCAATCCCTCCGCTCAGTATTGACTTTCTGCACCAGAAAGGCTGTCGGCGCCGGGTCATCCTGTTCTTTCTCCAGCGGGGTATATGCAGAGCGTGCACCAGGTAATAAGTGGAAACGGCTCTATGGCAATCTATCCGAAGTTTGCCATCAAAAGTCAATAATTATTAAGTTAGTGATTTTATTCCGCTTACCAGATACTGGTAATAGCCTGGTGTAACGCCGGATCACTAACCGCTTTTTATGGCAGTAAGCTACCCCTTGATCATCAGGCAGCCGTCGGAGGACGACTCTTGCATGGCTAGTTCTCAATAACTCTCTAGGCTACGGCGACACACCGGCTTTTCCGAGAATCTTTTGCAGGGAACCAACCTTAAATGGATCAACTTCCGGATGCGCTCTCTGCGTTGCAATGCCGTCGCTCAGCGCATCCGATAATTGCTCACATCAGCGCCGGTGCATGACGAGTCTCTTGGAAAGAATTTACGTACCGCCATAATCCGAGTAAGCTCAAGAGAGCCAGCCACGAAATTGTCGCCCTTCGCCGACTCTGCTCGTCGGGCAAAGAGTGACCACTTCCGCTTGAAATGAATAGAAGGTAAGTGAGCTCACCATGGCTGTAATCATAATCAAGTGACGTTGAATAGGATACACTGGCTTCACCAGCTCATGGGAATTTAAAGCCCCACTTCGGCAAGATTGCCCTGGCGCCACCGCTTACACCCTACAACTTTGCTTCTCCTAGAACGGAGTGGCATAACGACTTTTTTTCCAGTAAGTACTGTTTCAAGGTTGAAGATTGGTCAGTACTAAGCTTAGTAGACTCATGGAGATGTGCAGGCTGATGAAAGCAAGAAGCTGATGTAGTAATCATCCATTTTGACGTCCACGCCATGCTCTGTGTATCGAAAATTCATGCATTTTACGACGTTCTAGTCTGACGACTGCTTTACCGAAGCCGGTTTACGAGATTGTCTGCTTCACCCAGTGTGCGAATTGTGTGTCAGCTTTTCTGCCAGTGTTCAGTACCAAAAGTACGGTTCTTATGGCGAGTTCGGACGTACCTGACGAGGGTGCAGGCATGTTTTGGCAATATGGTCAATTCATGAGTTACACACAACGTATCGAGTAAGTTGCAAGCGATCGTTACGCTATCTGATTGAAAAACGGGTTAGTCAAACAAATGTGCAAGTCATCGACGCGATGCAACAAGCAACTCATGACACGTTGACTTCACAATCACAACGCGATTAAAACTGGCCATGACTCTTGCGTTTGCAAACAAGCAAGCTAACTACGCTCAACGTGAATTTCTGTACAAAGTGTCGTGACACAGGGAACGTACTCGGAGTACATGTCTCGTGTAGAAGTAAGACAGATTGTTGACAATGTTTTATCCTTGGTAATCGGTCTTGCCGTAGCTTTCTCAGCTAGGTGAAGGTGCCGAATCGGGACAAAAACGTCAGTCTGACCGGACTGTCGGAAAACACTTCGGCTGCTTCATCACAACCTCTGGGTTGGCGTAAGTCGTTGGTTTGTTAAAAAGAAAACTCCCGAAGCTGATTGTGTTCGTTAAAGCAGGCACAGGTTTGGGAGAAAAATTGAGCCGAGAGCGTTTATTTTCGTAAAATGTCTTAAAATGACAAATTTGCGGCGTACATTATGGTGGTAGAAAATGTTACGGATTTACGCCGTTTCAATGAACCTACACCACACTATTATCAATATTATCCATCTCATTTGGTGAGCGGCTCAGACGTCCGAAAGTAAACCTCTACGATGAAACATCGTGATTAGTACTGTTACGGATGAGGGTGATCAGAGTACGTACTGGAGAAGATTGTGGAACGCGTGGGTTTCTATCCCATGTCATACAACATATTGGTTTTTAATGATATCTATGTATAATCAATTCTAATAAGTATTTTCTAGGCTAACTTTAACAATAGAAATCACTTTGAAATTAAATAACAAGTATATAGTTACTTAAGCGGCTCTTGATCCGCTTCTACTTTTGGCGTACGAATCAATCCTCGGTTAGATTGATATCATGAACACGTCGAGTTAAACTCCCTTTGGATGAGACGTTCATCATTGTAATCTGTTTCTGTGATCATAACAAAGCGTTATGGCTCCGTCCTAAAGCGAAATTGGGTACAGAAGAACGTTAACTTTATGCGTGCGCAGTAGTTGCAAAGAGGGTACCCTTCACTTATAGCGAAAAGAAGAATGCTAGACAGTCAGTTGCTCTTTATTTTTGAACTTCATATTCTTGTGATCAAGAGAGGCTGGATGATTCCAGAATTTTTGCGTCACTATCAAGGACAATAAGACTTTATGCATAACGTGAGAAAGCCGCCAACATATCCTACGGATACTTGCTTGTTTCCACTCGAAGATACCAGTAATTGTCGCATTTCATCACCATATTGTCATACTTAAAGAATTCTGACCGTGACAATAGATCGAAGAGAACAGTGCAAGGTGTACATACATCATTATGTGTTGGTAACGTAACATATATTGGGTAAGCACTTAATTGTACGTGCGAAACGTGTTAACGGATGATGATCTCGCTGCAAGTATTAGCGCATGTGGTTCCGGTAGAATGTTAGCAGACCATTAGTATGTGAATTTTGATCACCATTTCAAGTGTTTGGTGATAATGACATCATGATCTTCGTGGGCGTTTTGGGCATATTGACTCTTTTCGCTGCTCTCGACGACAATATTTATCAAAGATATAACAAAGCTTTTCTCCGACAAAGTTATTTGCCAACATTGGTTACCGGTGGCCATTGTTTCCGATATAGCTATAGCGAGTGTTACGCAAACTTCGCTCAAGTCAATACGGTACATGTCTTAGTATGACATCCCCAACCAGAATGGCACCACACTGGGCTTACATTCGTTCTGTCATTTGAGTTCATCCGATATCAATTGCGCATTTTGGGCCCACACCTTCCTGCAACTCCTTGTAAATATTCATAAAGGACTGATTTCCCAGCTCTTGAAGAGCTCGATCAGATTGCATGGGACTAACATCCCCCAAGAATACCCGATTACTCCATCGCAAGCTTATGATCGTCTTCGCTATCTACTCGTATCTGCATCACGAGTACGTCTTACGGTAGAGTTGACTCAGCAGTACCATTATTTTGAAAATAAAGATTCATCCGTCGTAACTGCGTGGCCGCTCTACTTGCCGACGCTCGTGGAGACATTCTGGAGATGCTATCAGCCTATTGTGACAGCTAGTGTGCATCTTCAAGCGAGCAATCTTTACTTCTTGCCCTTGGACTGCATGTTTGTCGATCCCTGCGGGTCAACGGTAGGAATAACATTATTAAACGTATCAATTTGAATAGGAAGTAGATAATCGGATATACCGTGTTCTTCCACAGCAAGTACAGTCGATTTGAAACTTGGCCGTCGGGTTGACCTTAGTAGTTCAAGTTCGTTGTGCACTTTGACAGAGAAAGAGTCCGACTTAGCAAACGCAAAGAGTAAAGAGTCCCATCAATTGTGTCAATATGTAAGGTCTTTTGTATTTCTCACAACTACACCACAGTATGTTGTGGATTTTGTACATTCGTAAAGATTAAATCTTGCACAATTGCGCAAAAGGTTACGTGTTCGTACACAGCAATTCAGTACGTATTCCTGTGCAGCCTTTGCTTCATGCATCAGCGCCTTCGACGGGATACCGGTTCGGCAGAATGTCGTCATCCCATCAATATGAGCTTCAAATTAGTTTATCAGAAGACGCGTCCAACAATGCCGGCATTACGGTCATTGTCGATCGTCCGAGAGAGATGTCTCATCCCGTTGTCAGCGACATAGTTTATGGTCACCAAATTTGATACGTCCAATGCTGACCCTACCCGGACACATAGTCAGACAGAACACGTTTATCGTATAAAGCAACCTATTCTTTAAAACACTTGCGTAAAGCGACTGAGGTGCTGATGTGATATACTCTCGCTGATTGAATTTGAAATACGTAGTTTACGAATACGCAACCTTCTACCCATTGTTCAGATGATGTGTTTACGAAATAACCCTTAAACACCATCACGACGTACCCCTGCCTTAGTTGAGGAGATGCTGTTGATGCTCCTTGACTTGTGACATCGTTCTGGCTACACTTCGCGGCAAGGTAGAATAATTCATCACGACAATACTGAGTGTCATGTGTCAGTTGTGCGACGCTACGAATGAGAACAAAGTGTGCAAAAGCAACAGGCCGACGCCAGAGGGAAATGAAACAAACTTAAGTTTGTGATGAGTGAAAATGTTTAACTGAAGGCTGTGAATGTACCTCTGTATGAAGTGTCTGCAGTCGATGAGACAACATTCCATCGAGCTGGTGGGTCGTATATATAATTAGAATGGAAAGGCTGTATTCAAATCAACATTGAAATGGATACGAACACATCTTGTGTCTTGCGTAAGATTGCTAGTGAAATACCACGATCCCGCTCTTGGGATCGATAGAGATGCGAAGCTCTCTGTTGAATTTAATGTCCCATCGTGCACTTCCTCAATTGTAGGTGACATAATTTTTGATCAATGGCGGCAATCCAGTTCTACATAGCCTGAAGATGCCTCAAACAAATAGACTCGCTTTGGTAACGCAAAATGCACTTTCAAATGTTGACTAAAGTACTATTGGTTGTAAAAAGTCTCTCAAATAGTTTCAACGTGTCGCCATAATCGTAAGAGCGCACGCTGGAAGGGTGATCGGCAATTCGCTAGGACTGTAACTGGTATCTGGTGAAGTGGAAAAACCTATCCTCGCCGCAAAAATTATGAAAATTTGAGATACCTTTCCGGCAAAATTGTCAGGCTTCCACGCCTTAAACCTAGTGCACCCTTTATCTTTTTTTTAAAAATGTAGAAACAGGATTGCGCACTTTTCGACAGCCAGTAAAAACTGGTCCTGATCAACCAAAAGGCTATAATAGTAGTAGTGCCTGCAGACTCATCGGGATGAGTAGAGCTCCTTACACAAAAGTTGAGGTGGCAGGGATTCACCTCGATGCCGTACGTCGTGCTTTGTTTACAAACTCACACATTAAACTGTGTTTCAGTCTGTCGTTTGCTTTACTGAAGCTGGTTTGTAAAGCTGATGGACGGGTAGAGCGACATGCCTTTTTTACATAGTTTCTGAAATTGGATATAATACCTTCGGCACTTTCACCTCCATTCGGTACCAATAGCACATTTCGTATAAAGAGAAGGGATATACCCACTTGCGGCGCTAGGGTTTTATCTGAGCGATGATGCGATGCGGGGTTGGACAGCGCTCTTGGATCTACTCGCGAGCAGTTACTTTATTCTCTGCTCGAGGGAAAGACCCACAAGCACATAAATCAATAATCGCTCCGTCATGGCGCGACGAGCAGCGCTGATGACATGAATCCATAATCACTACATGGCTGAGTCCACTAGAGTCCTGCGACTACCGCACTTAAAATAAGCAAACTTGGTTTGCCTGATTAAGTTCAGCCTATTAGTAACAAGCTGGACGTCATCGCTAGTTCCATGGCAGAGTGTCGCGCAATAAGGATTGCACACGGAGTGTATGTCTCGTGTAGAAGTGAGGTTGAGCGTGGAACCGGCTTTATTTTCGGTGAACGGCCTCGCCGTATATTCCTCGGTAAGGGCAGAAGCGTCGAGCCAAAAAAACGTCATAATGGCCGTTCTATCAGAAATCATCAAACAGGGCTCGTAGGTTATTGATCGCGCGGACTTATCTTTCCAAGTGGCACGTTGAGTCATTTGGGCACGCTTTAAGCGAAGACTATCGATACCGATTCAGTAGTTCGATCGTAAGAGCACGTAAAATTAGGTGTATTGGCAGATACCAAATAGGTGCTTTGGTATAATCACATTAGCGAGAAGTATTGTCATCTGTCATGGATAACTCCGTCTTTGAAGACACTCAGGCATTACTGACCTTGAGAGAAAGGCAGCTATTGTAGCGGGGCTGCCGTAGCTCTTTCGCTTAGAGGAAGCTTGGTTCAGGTCTGTGACCTTCGTTCTATACTTAGAGCTAGTACGAGTGTAGAGAATCGCAATCCGCTTACTCCAACAGAAACTACAACCTTAACCCAATGCTAATTACCTCTTTCGTTTAGCACGTATACTGTATATATTTCTCGGCTATTACTTGCGGCAACGCCGCCTAAATCTAAACGTATAGAGTTTCCTATGTATATAGTAAAACCTTATCAAATGTATAGCTACAGGCAGTTCAGCCACGTACTAACTTCTTGTTTAAGTATATCCACACACCATTGTGTGGTCACACCATCTTGTGTAAATCACAGCATCTTCTGCGACCCGCACCCTTCACACCCGAGCACGCGAAACCCCGTTTCAGCTATCCTCAAGCCCAACAGATCCTATTCATCCATTGTACGCAAATCTACAACGTAGGGACAAGAACCCCACTACGCGTGCTACCCCAGATCACAGAGCGCGCAATTATTAACATGGGTTTTGCGACTCAATGCTATGTCTCACAACACTGACCTTTGTCAAGAAAACAGTGTGACGTAATGAACATTGAATTGTGCAAAGCTTAGAACGGGTGTGATGTGTATGTTTATAATTAGCCTTACGCGGGCGCCGTAAATGCGCAAACGCCGTTTTAGCGGCAGCGCAGCATGGTTGATCGCGGCATGCTCAGTGCCTTTGACCTAGTTCTACTGCTAATGAGCAACAATTATGTCTCTCTCGTGCAATAGGTACCTCGATCGGGATGCTCTGGTAGTGAGATTTCATCCCACAGGGGTTGAATAATGATACCAGTCACGCTAAATTGGTTGGTGACGCAGCTATTCAGGCAACGTCGTGCCCATACAGAGACCTATTTTAAAGATATACGAGTAGAACACGGAAGTCCCACGCAAAGACTGCATTAAACACTTGCGATCAGCACACAAGTACTCGCACTTCAACGTGCCGTTTGACAATCAGGACGACGTGTCGTTGGCTCATTTAATCCTCTTCACTAGCTGCTAAATTGGAAACATGGTATCCGCGCAGATTTAACATCACCATAGAGTGGTCGATGCATCTATACCAAAGAGACTTGAAGAAGGCTAGGACTTGTCGGCCACGTACACAAATATGGTGCAAAGTATGTAGACATGACGCAACGCCACGCCAGTCACACTCATGGGGCTATCAAATAGTGCTGGGGACAGTGCATTCAAGACGTGCAAAAGATATGGATGAACTGATTTTGATCCTTCCAAATGAATCGGCTTTTCCATGTCGTTCATGTCGTTTCAGCATTTGCCACAAGCTTTCCTTTCTTCCAACCGAATATGAAAGTGCATGGACTTGAGTCGCGTTGTGTCTTGATAGCAAGATTCAGTATAAATGAACTAGTCATCTGACGACAAAGACCAACTCAGAATAACGCATGCTCTTGTGAAGTTCAAGGTATACCTCTTTGGCCCGTAGATATTGTAATCTATACAGCTCATACATCGCTGCGCACAGTGACGTTGTTTTCATGTCTCTCACAGGAAATAATTCTATCTATCCATCTTTGTCGAGTAAAACTTTGAGACAACGTACAAGTGAGCTGGTTTCCTATGGTAATGACCGGTCTTGGGGCTCAAGTGATTAGTTGCTTGACCTGGGACCGGAGGATACCTGGTTCAATAATCATAGGACCTGAATTAAAGCAGCCGGATATAGGTCACTAAAATTGACGAATATTTATACACAAAAAGTGTGACTGCCCTGCCAACTCGCACCCAGACTTAGTAAGGCGGGCTGGATACCTCACTGTCCAAAAGGGCCTTTTTTGGAGAGATGAGTCTTTCGAAAACCGGTCCCAAAACGGGTTGGTAGCTACAAGCATTGTGCGTTAAAGAAAACTTCGTCCCAGCGTGTTGGTTCCGGTAGCATAAGACGTTGAATATGGTGGCGGATGTGCATTTATACCATCTCACTATAGACTATCGGTGGTCACAATGGCAATGTCGTCCATAAATGAAGAATTTATCGATCCGAAAAAGCATGTTGCGCATGCTTCTTCGCTTCTAAAACCTTTGACCTAGAAGTTTTAATCCGTTTGTTCAAGGAGTACGGTTGTCTGTCCGCACCGCTAACAAAATCCTTACTGTAGTAAAGCAATGCTCACCGTCGAGTAATCTCTCATGGTGAGAATCTAAAGCACACAACATTGCGCAACACATGACGTCACTTCAGTGTTTTCTCTTTTAGGCGAGCGTTTGTCTGGTGGCACAAGACGTACAAGTGAGCACGTTTGTTCGCACGTATGAGACGTGTCATCGGGCTAAACTTCGCCGCTTTCGCCTATGGTTCTGGTCAGCCTATTAGATTTGCATAGTATTTGCAGATCACAACTATAACCTTTTTCGGGATGCGTCTGGTAAAGCTGGCTGTGTGGTCGTCTGAGCAAATTTATCTCATCCCACTGCTGTCAGCTACGCCATTACAGGTAACTATTTATCTAAGCTGCTCCTTGACAATGTGAGTTGTGGAATGGCGTGTCGGTGGCTATTGTGTTGAAACGAGATCCGCGCTTTACAAAAAAGTTATGTCATACTTTACTCGGTGTGCTACGCACCAGATCATTTTTGTCCTTTGTAGACTGATGGATAAACGTTTCGCGATCATTGCAGGATAAAATTCGTTTGAAACAGGTGCGCGAAGAGACGGTGGTGCTGAATCCTATTGCTTCCACTTATTGAAGTGTCGTCAAGTAATGCAGTGCCTATTTCTACAGGTTTGCCCATTTTCAATCAAATTGGTCGATTAATCCCAGGCTCTTTCAGCACAGCCACAAAGCGGTTTCGATCTGGTTGGTGGATTGGCTTGCGATATTATCCGACTCGCTGATTAAGCCCGGCTACACTTTACCACAATGCGCATAGTCGGCGCCGCCATGACTGTCAGCTAATATGTTAAAAACAATATGTCGATGCTAAAAGCAGGCAAACACACGCCCGATTGGGCTTTCCAAGTGTTAGAAAATAGTTTTGCTTTTGAATTCAAACTAGTTTCATCATAATTCTTTTCCTGTAAAATTTATCTAACAGCCTTTGTCTCTATATCATGATTGTGCTGAAACTAACCAACTGGACAGAGCATGGCATCTATGCTCTATTTTCTCTGAACATCGAGAAAATCGACTTGCAGAATTGTATGGTAGTCTAGTTCATAGATACACACCACGCTCTGCGACTACATGGCTTTGAATCTATCGGCTCCAATTTCCTGAGTAAGGAAGGGACGTGCCCAAAAGCGCTACGTTTACATAGTGTGAGAGAAATAAGACATCATTGAAAGCACTGTCACACGATGGCGCTTCGCAAAATGTTTGACACATTGTGTTTGAAGTCAGGCAATTTTACCTTGTGCCGACAATACAATCGTTAGTGCTTTCGAGTATGTGCCACCTTATTAAGATTTTAATTTGCTACTGGCAAGTCAACAATCTTCAAACGCATAGCCAATCAAAGCACAGGCTGGCATTCCAAGACCTAATTCTGCGCAACGAGCATGCGAATAACATGTTAAGTTCCGCTCCTAAGTAATCTATTGTCTTTGCTAGATTATTGATCGCATTGCAATTTGCTTACAATGAAACACATTCAGGTGCACAGTATCTCCAGGTATGCTACAATTTGAGTAAGAATTCCAATTGAGCCTCATTGAGTTTGATTGACGTGTAATTTTACAGCATTATGAAAACGCTTTCCTGCCTTGAGTCTATCCTTAGGCTAGCATCAGAGTTTGTTCGCAGGTCTCGTCCACAACCTCATTGAGGTATCGTCCACTATCACTACACAATAAGCCACAACAGTATGTTTGCAATCTCTTGTTACTAGGGATCCCTGCTTGATCTTAAAGGTGGGTATACTTCGGCAATACTTAAAGAAATCTCGTGGTACAGGAAAAACACTAATAATAATATATAGTATTTCGACCTCAAATGACGGGGGCAGTATCATTAGTATATCACTGCTCTCAGAACAGGTTTATCATTGAATTTTGATATTTACCTCTTCTATTTGCAAATAATCATTTTCTTTCTCATATTTTTTATATTTCAGGCTAAAAAACCAGAATTTGAACTGCATTAGATTGTATCCAATAGAACCAAGTAGCAGTTTAAACTGCGGCAAAAAAAGAAAGACCAGCGCAAAAATGTGACGTAGTTCAACAAATATGATCCTAGAGCATAGTACACAAGAGAATTTATAAACCTTTATCAAATGCCTCGAATGCATATAACAATATAACAATATAACAATATAACATTATGCCAATATAACAATATAACAATAACGATACACTATATTTATATGAAAATTCCTTACTAGTGCACGTACTGCTCTATATGCTCCAAGATGGTAGATGCTGCTTAAAACGGGAACGCCATTTGTAACACCTCATTGAACCTTAAATCCTGCAACGGTGGGTTAGCAAAGTGTTCAGGACGATGATTTGTCATTAGCGCGGCTTTTGCTTCGTCCGTCAGTTGGTCTAACGTGATAAGATCCTGAAACTCTCCAGAGCGGCTCGTGAGTTCAAATCCATGCATTTTGAGCCAAAAACTCTGTTGCGACTTGATCTTGACAGTGGTATGATTATGCACATATTTTGAATGAAGTGGTGAGTATTTCTTGACGCCGTCCGCAAGTCGTGGTAGTGTCACAGCGAGAAGAGTTGACTCGTCCGGATCCGGACTGTTGGTCCAAATAATGGCCCATAACCAATGACTCACAAATTGGGTCGTCGGATCAAGAGCTCCCGGGAAGTACCAAGTGTACATAATGGCCCACTTGCCTTTGTACCAGTCGGAACGCGAATACACTTGCGAGCCCAAAGGAGACCCTCGGCAAGACGCTCGAGGATTATGTTTCCACTCTACTCCGCTACTGAGCGACCCATTTGCTTGTACTGCTGGGTACGGATGACATCCACTGTCAATATAGAGCGAAGGTTTATACTTGACGGCGGATTTCTGTGATTTTGTCTCGGGTTGCGGCTGTGGAAAAGGCTGGACTTGGTTCGCATCGATTAAATCTGGAATCGGATCTAAGTCTACTGAGCGGAACACAAAGTAACCATTGGCATAGGACAATGTGAAAATCGTAATTGCTCCAAAAAGAAAAGCACGAGGAGTCATATCGAGCTCGAGTGCGGTGCTGTGAGTTGACTAATGGAAGGTGATAGCACTACACAATTGTCAACCTCATTGAGGCAGAGAGATGTGAGACGTGAATCAATTCGCTTTGAGACTAGAAATAGAGAGAATGCTGATCCGTATCCTGTGTTGCGGTATTTGAGAATCTGCCTGTCACAAGATGCAGGAATAACACATGTAATCGGATAATGACAGAATCCGTGGTGATTACAACCTGTGTGCTAAAAGCGTAGTCATAGACCAGGTGGATTTGTCGGCTACGCTTCTTGGCATCCAAAATCATGAAGAGTATCAAAAAATAAGTCGGAGGCATCCAACAATATTAATTAACATATTCAGTGTTATGATCGGTAGTGTTGAATGTAATTCCAAAATAGACATCCAATATGATTAGAACACGCACTCTATGAAACATTAAATGTGTGATCACATGGTTCTAGCTCGTACTACTCATCGTATCCATTAACTCTAGCCTTTCCAGTCTAAAATCAAAACCCACAACTTAATACGGATACATATTCACTTGTCGTGGTATGCGCAAAATACAGGTGTTGACCTTACTCACCGCGTACTTACCGGACTGGTTTATACCGTTGCAGCGTCACTCCGCCGTCTGTATCAGTTGCTTGCTTCATGAATTATCGAAAAGGAAATTTGTTGTAGGACACCAACGCGAATGATAATGATAATATAAGTGTTCGTCAAAGTCTCACAAAGACTTTTGCTTCTTCAACATTGACTGGATGCCGGACACCTTCACGTCACACGCATTTTCACGGTTTGGGACACATGATAGTACACTTATGCCTTTGGCATTATTTGATCTAATGGTCATTAAATCACGAACACTACGTTTTTTGTCATTTCTCCTTTCTGTCCCTGAAAAAAGAAAGAGCTGTTCTTTGATTCAGGATACATCTGTTGAGTGCGTGTCCAGAATCAGATTTAATTTGCTCAAATCCAATCTATTCTATTATTCGTTTTCACAGACGAGGTTACCTGCATATTACATGCAAAGTACACTGTCAATTAGTACCTTTGGAGAGATACAGACAGAACCATGCTGTGGATCATCTCCATACAAAATGTATTAGTCATTAGTTCCCACCAAATTTCCTTTCAAACAGCTGAAGGTTAATCAAATGCAGGTGCGCTATTTGTACCCTCAACTGAAAATTTGGTCGACCAATTTGCAAGAAGAGCCAAGAGCTAACACTGAATCAACTAGCCAGGTAAAGCTACACATGGTCCTACGGATTCAAACGGTAGGCAGGTATAAATTTGAGAATTTCACCCGCATTGATAACTGCTGCTCCTGAATAAGACCTTTACAACGTCACGCCCGACGTTGCAGCTATGGTGTCCCGAATTCGCAGCACGTTACATAGCGGATTCATTGATCTGGGTCTGTCCGGTTTTTGTGTTTTTGTAGCACATAATTTTGATTTACGAAATCGCAAGTGAATGTCATATTTTTGACCTACAAGCGACAATTTGGTTGTGGCTACGATCTCCGCTCGGCTTGCATCTCCTCTGCTGAAGTATTTGCTATAACTGTGTTTGCAGCACAGTTATAAGAATCCATATGTATTTGTAAGGGCATGATGGATTGGGATCTGGATCGAAACTGGATCATTTGTAAAGATGAGAGAGAGTATATCGGCAATGTACACTATGAGGATTGCTGACGATTTGGTGTGATTCATTTGTAGTCAATGGGCTGTTTGGTACTGGGTTCAGTATTTTAGATGTACTTTGGAATTTTATTCTCTTGAAGGATGTGTAATATACACATAAGTAGATAGTACCGAACCGAAGAGAACAGATCAATGAAATTGCTTGTGACTAGGCGGTACTTCTAATCGATAACCTTTTCACTCATAACGCTCGAGGAGTGAGGCCGTCACACTGACGGCCTCACTAATGATTGTTTGAAGCTTAATGTGAGCTTTCTGTTTCGAATAATGATACAATAATTTCATCCCCTAAGACTATACTCACTCTTTGTCATGAGCTACACTTAGCCGTTACACATATCTTTTGTATGCACTGTGGGAATTGATGTAAGGAAGGTTACAGTAAAAATTATTATTAACTGTCTCTAATCCAAAAATTCCTGACAAACGTCATAATCCTTACAGCATGGGCTACATCTTCTGTTGAACTTGGCCCAAAACAAGGCAGATTTATTTACACATTAAAAATCGCCTTAGATTGATTGACGTGGATACAATCTAATGCAGTTCAAATTTTAGTTCTTTAGCCTGAAATATAAGAAATATGAGATCAAAAAAATGATTATTTGCAAATAGAAAAAGTAAATATCAAAATTCAATGATAGACCTATTCTGAGAGCAGTGATAAACTAATGATACTGCCTCTGTCATTTGAGGTCGAAATACTATATATTATTATTAGTGTTTTTCCTGTAGTATAAAAGTATAAGTATTGCCGAAGTATACCCACCTATAAGATTAAGCAGGGATCCCTAGTAAGGTACAGAACCGGTAGCTTTTGACCCGATAGTTAAGAAGATCGAGCTGTGAGTTTGTCAGAGTTGTATAGATAAGAAGACGCACGGTCTCCCGTACCAAAAGCGGTGGGGTATAACGCCGACTGCAAGTCATGAAAAACAGGATCAATTTTTGAAGGTTGGTATGTTGACTCGCATTTGTCATAACGTAATGGTTGTTATGAATCGACTCGGGTGTCTAATATGCGAAGCCGGGTGTATAACAATAAAGATTATCTACCCGTGAGCAATGCTTTCCTTGGCGATATTATTCGCTACATCCGATATAACGTTTTTACAAGCTTGAGAATATGTGGTCGAGTAAACGCAAGTCGCTTTGGTCACCAATATAAACGGTTGGTACCGGCTGGCGAGTTCATGTC